AACCGGTTAGGCTGGATAGACTAGGCTGTCTAGACTGTGAATGAATGCGTGACGTCATAATCACATTCTTTTGAGTCGCTGCCAAGTATTTTTTTACCTGTGTACATAAAAAAAAACGTAGTCGCAGCATAGAGTGTAAAACACTATATTTTTAGGGACTATGTATTGATACACCTTACCCACCCCATAGGGTTAAGGGGGTTAGAGGGTTAGGGGGTTAGGGTTAGGGTTAGGGTTAGGGATAGGGTTAGGGATAGGGTTAGGGTTAGGGGTTAGGGTTAGGGGGCTAGGGTTAGGGTTAGGGTTAGGGTTAGGGGATAGGGTTAGGGTTAGGGGATAGGGTTAGGGCAAGGGTTAAGGGGGTTAGGGTTAGTTAGGGTTAGGGTTAAGGGGGCAAGGGTTAGTTAGGGTTAGGGAGGGGGGTAGGGTTAGGATTGCACTCGGTTGATCCACCTATCCCGCAGCCAATCAGAATCCTCCATTTTTTGACCTCATTTGCATAATGTCCTAGATATTGACCCGCCTATCTAGGCCCCTTATACTACTCAGGGGCACACATGCACAATGCGAATTTAATCTTTCTTATCAGTAAAATTTTATTCAATCCGACATTTAATTTCCCCTTAATTAAACTGATAATTTAATTTTGTAAATATAGGGGATGAATTACTGCATCCATACGTGAAGGAATGCTATATGAAAGACATGTCAAAGCCAGGGTATACAGGATCCAAATTACAAGTTTATCAATGTGTGTCAGTTTATACAAGAAATATTACAAATATGTATCATTATATCTCTTAATATTTTTACAATTATATAGGTTTCTAGCGGTGTACTTCTTCCGTGCTGGCATCAGACGCAATAACACAGATGTCATACGGGTATCAAGAGTAAAATTTTCCCCAATTAATTTGGTATTGCGAAAACCAACTACCAGAAAATTGAGGTTGTGGACACCATATGTAGACCGTGTGCTCCTTCAGAAATTAAAGAATATACGAATACACGAATCTTTTTCTCGAAAGATATTATTCCAAGAGCACTTTTGATGAGAAAAATCACTGCAATTATATATTAATATTATAAAGAACATACATTTCTTTAAGTACTATATATAAAATGGATATTGTGTATTCCGAACATTGTATATTTTGAAAATAGGCTTGCTTTATTCGTAAATTTAAAGTCAATTTTAGTGAAACTTGTGTTTTACGGGCATCAATGGGTCCAAAGATATTGGTCGCATTAGACAATATTCTAGATGAAACACCAATTTAAACGATAGATTCAGTTTTGATACTGAGTATCAATAGGAAAGTTTCTAATCCGGCCAATTCCGTTGGAAGCAGTTGGTGTTCGGAATACACAAGGTTCACTGTATATGTATTTAGAATAAATTATATAGAACCAGGTCATCCAAGCAAGGGAGAAGGCTGCGACTTCATTCTAGAAGCCAAAAACAAACAAACCAAAAGTTGGATCCCAACTGGAGCGCCAAAAGAAAAACACTGGCAACAGTCATGTAGAAATTTAGATACAATGGAATAAGTCAGTACTTTTGCTATTTTATATTGCAAAAACTGCATACTTAACAACACAAATTAACAAAAATGCATGAAATCTAACGATTAAAAGGACACATGAACTTGGTTTTTCTTTAAAACAGAAGAAGAATTAAAGAAATAAGCAGTACACTGGTCATGAACCCTGTACCCACACCTAACTTTGTTAACCAAGTGTCCCTTATCTCCATCTGAAAGGCAGATATTGCATATATCTGCTACTTTTGTCCTCACGCAATCAGTCTGGATTGCCTTCTCCTGTCTTTTTCTCTTCCTGCTGATCAGTATGGGTAGACCTAGGACGGAGTTTTCTTGTGGAGGTGGGTGAATTTCAGCCTGGATAATGCGGACGGAATTACGAGGTTTGGGGGATGGAAAAGAATCCGTTGGAGAGGAGACAGAGGGGGTTTGTGCCGATGAAACTGGAGAGTGGGTGATAGATGACGAGGGTGGAGCTGTGTTAGAAGACAAAGATAGCACTGGGCAGATAGGAGTTGAGGAGAGGGTTGAAGGAGAATGTGAATTTAAGATTCAGAATTAGAATGCACATTCAGACTGTTCTTTTGAAGCACACCAGTCAACGCCTAAAATTAATTTTAACATTTACACATTTTTATTTATTTGTATTAAAGCACGTGCACCTTAATTCAAATTTAAAAAAAATTACAATAAATTACCTCTTTAAATGATGGCGTTGAGAAAGTTGACATCTTTCTTGATGGAGATTTGATGACTATTAAGAATTCACACTTAGTGAGATCTTGCAATTCCTTTGCCTGACAATTGAATGAAATGAAATGAAATTTTATTTCATTTATATGTCTTGGGGAAAAAACAATACATTTTAATGTCAAAATAATTTTTATAGGGGCCTCTAGCTATGCTTGAATATGGGTTAATAACTATATTTTGATATTTAGTCTATGACCTTGAGGGCAAGGTCTTCGATTCACAAATGGATTTTGCTTATTTGCAAACTTTTGATATTTATTCTATGACCATAAAGAGAGCGTCTCGTTACACATGAATATGGGTTATTGGATATCTAGTCTGTGGCCATGAAGACAGGAGCATCTGGCCACAACCGGATTTTGTAATTGGATAGATTTGGAATCTAGTCTGTGGCCTTGAAGACAGGGGCTTCTGGCCACAACTGGATTTTGTTATTGGATATATTTGGAATCTAGCCTATGGCCATGAAGACAGGGGCTTCTAGTCACAACTGGATTTGGTTATTGGATATATTTAAAATCTAGTCTGTGGCCATGAAGACAGGGGCTTCTAGTCATAACTGGATTTTCGTGATTTTATATGTTTGGAATCTAGTCTATGGCAATGAAGACATGTACATGGGGCTTCTAGTCAACTTGATATTGGTTATTGGATATATTTGGATTCTTGGGCTATGACCATGAGAGCAGGGGCCTCTGGTCACAACAAGATATTAGTTATTACAGTGTAGCTATATTTTATATCTAGTTTTTGACCCTGAGGGTCTACCAATCAGATATTGATTTGCTTATCATGCTTTTTGGCTATATTTCCACACATAGCATCTGACCACAAAGGTCATGATCCTCTGGTCACACATCGACATTGGTTATCAGCTTCATTTTCTCACTACTTTCTGACCATGAGATCAATGACTTTTGTTTACTAGATGAAAATGCCATAGATTCTATGATTTCTTTTTTAGAAGTGATTCTAGTAATTGAATACATGTCCTTGATGTTATACGTTCGTATTTTGGAAATAAATAATGTTAAACCTACAATTGTAACTATATGGCGGTGGATGGGGCGGATCAAACCCCTTTGATCGTGAGGCTTTGATCGGTAGCGGATGTTGCTCCATCTTTGACACTGTTTAGGTCTGAAATACGCATTCTGTTTACTGTACATTTTTTGCGTACCTCATTCGTTGAATAATATTGTGAACTTAAGACTCTATGATGTTTTTTGCTATAGGCGTTTGTTTCTATTACTCAATGTGTTTAATTGTATTGGTATTGTCAATTACACAATTTGTTGACATATTTTGTTTGCTTTGTCGTTTATTTATTAATAAATGAACATTCTAATTTCAATACTGCGTTTTCATTTGTGTCAAACAGAGCACCGCTGTCTTTTAAATATCAGCTGAGGAGGATAACACATTTTATGTATTCTTCTTAAAGCCGCTTCATCCGAAACAGGCACATATTATCTTACACAATAAATGTGTTATCCTCCTGAGCTGAGACATTTATAACTAAATTTACTATACTGCTAGAAAAGATTTATTCATGTTTAATGAGACAAAAGATAAAATCAATAACTCTTCTATTTATCACATTACAATTATACAAGTAATCAAAAATGATAATTTTAAAACGTTATATACGTATATTATTATTAATATTTATTCAAATGACTCGGAGCTGTATCAAATATATAAAATTAATCAAAACTAACAAATAGAGTGAAAAGTTTTATGAAATATTTATACTACTCATTCAATACCTGTATAACCTCTCAAACTTGCTTTCACCAATCAATCACCCCTTTTCACTCATTCAAAATCACTACCATACTTGAAGATAATATTAAAAACAGACCCAGACTCTGATTGAAAAATAACACCCAAAAGTCCCAAGGTAATGAATTGAGAAAATGTAAGCAGGAAATATAACATTCAAGACATCTTGAGTTCTGAAACACTGGCATGACTAGTTTTGAACACAAAAAAAATACAGTCCCATATGTTGTACAAACATTTTCCTCCAAAACCTTAACCAATGAGATGTCACTGATACACGTAGGCCATTTCTGGCCATTCCATACGTCTAAGACCTGTTGAAGTTCTTTACCACAAGGGAAACATTATACTGAAGTAATTCCTAAAGCTACGACCATGAAAGTATTATATACCTTAATTAAATGATAAATTGTGATTTAAATAATTATAATATTAATTCAAATAATTTTTTTCTTTGTGTATAAAAATACTAACCATGTCAAATAAATGCAAAAACCTTAAAATGCTTAAAATACATTTATATATACTCGTTTTCAACTATAATAAGTTAACCACATTCTCTTAAGCAAATACGTATAAATAAATGGTATATATATATATATATATATATATATATATATATATATATATATATATATATATATATATATATATATATATATATATATATATATATAATAGTTTTACTCTTTGCGTTAAAAAGAGTAAAACTATGCTACTGATTATTTTCAATTTTTTCTGAAAAGAGAAGAGTAACAGTCTTTTTTTTCAATAATAGGTTAAATTCATTTTGTCTACATTGGAAAAGATAAATAGATTTAAACAAAAATTCCATCGATGACACTTTTTTTTTATTCTAAAAGCTTAAACTAACAGACAAACAAACATTAATAAACAGGCAAATGGGAAAATGTTTGTAGATATTAGATTTTTAAAAAATATTAAACAGGTTATCCCAATATTAGTGAAAGCCGTCTACTTTGAAATTATTTTTACTTGTTGGGGTAAGATTGATTGATTGTATGTTGTTTTACTTCCCATTCTAGAATTTTTCACTCATATAGAGACGTCACCATATACCGCTGAAGGGCTTCAGATTCTGATCTTTACTCGACACCCAGGGTCATTGAGTAGTGAGGAATCTTTATCTTGTTATCGAATGCCATGACAACATGAACAAGGGACCTCGATTTTATCCGATGGACCCGCAACTTTCACTTTAAATGACGAGGGTATGGCGAAGGAACAGTTGCTACTCATTTTTTATCGACTTAGGTCAGTCGCGGCCGAGATACGAACTCACGACCTCCGATGTTGGGGTAAGAAGAATAGTGTGAAAATGTAGGTATTCTATTTAAAAATATATTTCATTTGCTAACAAGCTAACTGCTCAACAACAATAGAATAAGCTAAATGTTGCTGATATTCTTGTATCATCAATGTATTTGTCAATAGTTTGCTTCGATTTTTAATTTCTAGTTCTTGTTAATACAATCAGGAAACACAGATTCAATGTGCTAGTTATAATGATACATTGCTACATAAATAAGGGAAGTTGACAATATAGAAAAGTACGTTGGAATTATCAGTTGATGATAAATTCTAGAGTTGTAAATTTGCTTTGAATGTCTTTGTCTCGTAAAAGATCAAAATATGAAACGCATGAGTTAGACTGTGGTACCGTTTGTTTCCAGCTAAATGGGATCTATCGAAACAACATGAATCTACGTTAATATCGTCATGCATCAACAAAGATTTACACCCTGCACTTATACTACTAGTCCCCATTTCATTTTTTCATTTTTTTTCCACTCTCCACTGGAAGTTCGCAGCTAAGGGAGAACGCATTAACCTCTGTCGTTTCCTAGAAATAAAAGCGTAATTATTAGCATTGTAAAAGAGTGAACTAAACACGAAATTAAATTTATATATACATGTATATCTCAGACTTTGAAAAATCTTTAAAAGAAATGAAAAGTCAAAAATATCATTCATGTGCATATGGATCCTAAGAGATAATAAATGTAAAAACTCATATAAAATTGCAAAGTAAATAAAGTTCTGAGAGTATTGCATTAGTAATACTAGTCCATTACCGGCAAGTGCAATCTGGCTCCCAAAAAATATTTGACAATAATATAATTCTGCCAAAAAGCATTGAAACAGATCAAAATGCGAACCTAATTGATAACTCATTAAGGTACATGTAACTAACATACTAAAAAGCTACTTAATATCTGCAAGTATTTTCCCCCTAAAAGGATCAATGTACTTAAGATATGAAAGTTGAGTCCCAGTGCTTTGAGAAAAAAAAATTCCCGATTTTTTGTTTTGTTTAGAGTTATAAATAATGTTTTTGCATTACTATTATATGTATTCCGATTAATTTTACGGTCTTTGCAAAGATCAAGGAGATGCCGCGTCCATTTTTCAATAAATTACAAACTTCTTCAACAAATTATCGACAATTTCGCACTTAACAGGAACCAAATATTGATGTGAAATATGTGAGCATGAACTATGGTCATGAGTAATTGCAGGAACCAAATATTTTTTTGAAATATGTGAGCATGAAGTATGGTCATGAGTAATTGCAGGAACCAAATATTTTTTTGAAATATGTGAACATGAACTATGGTCATGAGTAATTGCAGCAACCAAATATTTATTTGAAATATGTGAACATGAACTATAGTCATGAGTAATTGCAAGAACCAAATATTTATTTGAAATATGTGAACATGAACTATGGTCATGAGTACTTGCAGGAACCAAATATTTATTTGAAATATGTGAACATGAACTATGGGTCATGAGTAATTGCAAGAACCAAATATTTATTTGAAATATGTGAACATGAACTATGGTCATGAGTAATTGCAAGAACCAAATATTTATTTGAAATATGTGAACATGAACTATAGTCACGAGTAATTGCATTTTCTGTCTTTGTATAATTTACGACAAGTTATAAACCAGAGAAAATGCGTACATTTGAATTGGGCCTTATCGATCGTCAAGCCTCTGTTTTATATTGTATTTCTGTTGAAAATTTTGTCTAGCTAATCTATCCAAGGCCCCCGGTCAACAGGCGATGCCTACTCCTACTAGACTAAGTTTTCTGATGTCATTTCTAGAATTTTCCATGTACTGTTTTTTTTTTTTTGCCTCGTCATACTTTTTATTGTTAATTTTTTTCAGATCGATCACTGTTTATTATCTTCACCTTTTTGAATCTTATCACGCACTGAACACGAAACGTCTATATACAAGTAATATATTTTTGAGATGTTACCTTACTCTCTTGGAGAGCAAATGTTGTCTTAAGAATATCCATTGTCAGACGACTTTCTAACGCATATGTCCCCGGGTCTTCTTGGCTATCTTCTTCTGCAGTGGCAAAGTCGTTAGGGAGGATAATGTTTGGGTAATGATATGGTTGTTCTGCATTACCCAGAATAATGTTCAATATATTCTTTTCTGATCTCATGCAGAGACCCTCATGTTCCATTTTAAGAAATGTGCCAGTATGATCTTCACAATCTGAATGATTTTCATGGTAAAACAGTAGTATGTATTTTGCTCTTTTGATAACATCTTTGAGATATTTTGTAATTTTTTGTCCCGGTATACAATCATCGACATTTTTAGCAACGTTCCATTTTATGAAATTGGACTCTGACAGTACATGTAATAACTTCTCTGCAAGTGGACAACTTTCCTCACAAATATGCAGAATGAAGAAATCTAGAATGTTATCTTCACTATAGCAGCTATCCGTGCGCATTTCCCAGGCTGGTATGCATTTTCTGCATTGCAGGAACCTAATCTTTGTTTTTTCATAATTCCCTTTTTCTAACGAGCACAAAGCTCCATCCATAAACATACGAAATAAAAATTGTCTAGAAGGGGTATTAGGGTCTTTGTCTATAATGAGTCTATTTAATATACCAATAGCATTTTCATAATCTCCAGCAGCTTTCAAATTTTCCACCATCTTTTGATAATCAGCTGAAGATTTAGTCTCACATTTCGAGTAAACCTCATACGCTTTTCTGTATTCCTTTAACTTTTCATATAAACGAGCAAAGTTTTTTTTCCTACTTTCTTCTCCTGAGTGCAAATATTCATATTCGTTCATTTTTTCTTCTAAGACCTGGATGCAAGAAGCTACATTTTTCAGTTCTGGAAGAACGTCTATATACAAAGACAAAATATCCAAAGCTCTATATAAAGCGTCTACTGCATTGATCATATCATTTTCATTCTGACTTGTTTTAAATAAATCAAATCTACAAAATGCTTGTTGCTCGTATGCACGAATCATTTGAATTTTGTCGTTGGCATCAATTCTTCCTTTGTTACTGTTTGTAATATACCTAAAATTCTCTAGAGCTTCTTCACTTTTTCCAAGCATTCTTTGAACAAGTCCTAAATCATATTGTGCTTGATTGAAAGAACTTACCATTTGTAAGGCTTTTTTAAAATTTCGTTCAGCATTCAACAATCGGTCATCTCCTGGATACAGTGGTACACACAGGAAGAAACAAGACCTTTCAGTTAAAACTGAAAGGCGGCTTTCAGTAACTTTTCAGTGGCCATTCAGCCACTGAATGGCACATACATTTCAGTGACCTTTCAGTTGCCTTTCAGTCACATTTCAGATACCTTTCAGTCACCATTCAGCGGACACATTTCCGTCAACTTTCAGTGGCCTTTCCATAAACTTTCAGTGACCTTTCCGTCGTCTTTCAGTGACCTTTCCGTCGACTTTCAGTGACCTTTCTGTCGACTTTCAGTGACCTTTCTGTCGTCTTTCAGTGACCTTTCCGCCACCTTTCAGTGATATTTAAGTCTCAATTTAGCAATTTTGTCACTAGCGTATTATATTATTTTATAATCAGATATTTTTCCTTAACAAGGAAGCAATATTTTGAATAAAGATTTATTATTCAATCTTAATTGTGTTTTTTTACTTATCATGATCAAATTCGGGTACTTTAAAATATGTCTAAGTAATTATTATAATTTTATAAAATATGTGAAACTGATTCAAAATGATTTTTAATTTTCTAGTTACATTTAGAAAACAAAAATTCTCCAAGTGATAAAAAAATGATGATCCGATAACCGATTCAAAATTCAAATAAATGCATAACATTCTATGGTGTTTATACGTGTATTTTTTCATGGAAATATATAGTTTTGATTGATGAGACAGAATTTATATTATTTAAACCATTTCTGGAAGATCGCAAGTATTACTGATCAATTTTGTTTCTTAATTATCATATGTCATTTTGAAAACTGCAGGATATTTAGTTTTTGAAAGTCATTATTTGAAATTCATTTTTAATTACAAGAATAAATAATTTGTTTATACATGCCTCTTGTAGAAATAAATATATAGGAGATTTTAGCTTTCTAAATGATATTTCTTTAATCAAAATAAAATCATTCTACTAAGTTTCTAGATAAAGAATTTACAACGATCTTAAATCTTTGACACACAAACAGGTGCCCGTCTCTGATAATTGTCAACATCTCGATACAACAGGTGAACTGATTGTTCCATCGATTTCTATAAATTACTTGATTTTAAATCCTCAATTATCAGCAAGACGTCGTAGCGTAATTGATAAGGTCGCGGACACTTAAGCAGGAGACCAGGGTTCGATTCTGGGCATGGGAGCAATTTTTGTTTCTTGCAATAATTTTTTTCCTATTTTTTTTATTCGGAATTAGATACATTTAATGCTTTTATACCAGGAAAAAGTGAAATTAAATTTTTAGGTAAAAAAATAAGCCGATTATTCAATAAAAAGATTCAACTGAATGATCACGGAAAGGTCACTGAAATGCATGTGCCATTCAGTCGACTGAATGGTAACTGAATGATCACGGAAAGGTCACGGGAAAGGGTCTTTTCAGTGACCTTTCAGTGACCATTCAGTGGCCATTCAGCCACCATTCAGTCGACTGAATGGTGGATTTTCATCCTGTGACATATCTAACCGATTTCATTTTTGCCCTTACTTGTCCAGAATATCGAGTTGCTTCCAGTGATTTTTCTCGATCATAATTGTTCTTCATATCTGGACTAACCGCTTTTGAAGATTGTTGTCTTGGAACATGACTTCTTGTGTTAAAATATCCTTGTTTTAGGATATTTTTCCGATTTGGATGCCTGGCTTTCTTTTTTTCACGATGTTCTTGTAAAACCATGTTTTGAAAAGTTAAACCAAGATGATGATAACCAATGGTTGTTTCTCGAATGGTCAGAGATTTTTCAAGTATTTCTTTTGATTTTTGTAGGTTTTTCTGATATCTCAAATGCTGTCCATAGCGCTGGAGTGCGTGGTATGACTTGGGGTTGACTTCTATCGCCTTTTCAAAGAATTCCATATAATTCATATCTTTATATTTGTCTTGATTATTGAAAACTATCAATCCAACTTCAGTAAATGATCTGGATCTCAAGATTTTCGAAGAAGTGTTATTAATAACTTTCATAAATATATCAAACGCTTCTCTATCTTCCCCTATCAACTCTGCATCCGTCTTATTCTGAATGGCAAGAATATGTGTTTTTCTTCTTAGTGTCAAAGCAAAATAAAACTGCCAGCAATCTACAAATGTAGGCATTTTGTTAACAGATTCGCGGAACATCTCAATCGCTTTTGCTGAACAGAATGGACCGAGCTTTGAAATACATACGGCTAATTCAGCTTTTGCACTGAATTTGAGGTTTTGAAAATCGTCTTGTCTGGACAGATCTTTAAAGTTTCTCAAAAACTCTTTTGCCTCAGCTACATTTCCCATTCCTTCATTAAAGTGATAAAAATTACAAATTGTTACTATATTTTCTGTTTCTCTTAGCGATGATATCTCTTTTCCCATCTCAAGGGCCTTTGTGGCGAACTCCATTGCTCGTTTTCTTTCATCACTTTCCCAGTAAAGGAATGAAACAAAGTTATGAAAACAAATAGATTCCTCAGTGGTGTCATATCCAAATTCAATGTCTTTTACAAGCTTATTTCGGCGTTCTTTCAACTTTTGGGAAGAAATGTATCGGATTTCAGCTTCTATGGAGAAGGAAGAAAGCTTCCTCATTTCTTCTAAACATGACTCATCCTCTTCCTCATTGTTACGAAACATTGCCACATGACCTAAAACATGTTTTAGAAATGATAGAATTTATAATGATATGCAATTTGTAATGAAAAATAATTAGAACCAAAAATAAATAATGAAAAAAAAAACACGACAGCAATCAACTACATTTTGCTTATGAATCGCTGTTTTGAGATTTATTACCATTTATTAATATAAACCAATCGAATGGGCGATATGAGTCATTCGAACTCCATAGATGCTAACACCTATTAAAATTGGTGATATCACCTACCGCAAATGAATAAAAGTTATAACACCTTTTCGAATTTTTGATATCTCCTTCACGTTTTGAATTGGTGATATCACAATATCGATTTTGGTGATATCGCCTATTTGCATTTCTTACACTGTTAATTATTGAATGCTCAATTCCTTAAGACAATGAAGATATAGGTTAACATTTTAAAATGTTTTCAAAGTGCAATTTTATTTTCCAAGTTATGATTCAAATTTGATAAAATTGAATTCATTTATCTTGATATTTTTTTTTTAAAAAAGGACTTTTTCTACTGAACTTGTGTCACGCGCGTGGCGCAGTGGTACTAGCGTCTACTCTCGAGTGAAGGTGTGTGGCAACGCACTTTGAAAAAATTACGCACTTTGAAAAAATTTTTCAAAGTGCGTAAAATTTTTCATAGTGCGTTAAATTTTTGACACACTCAACGCACTTTGAAAATTTTTTTCAAAGTGCGTTAAGAATGCATATAAACATTTTTTACCATGGAGGCATTTAACGCACTTTGAAAAAAATATATGTATGAATATAAAAATTCTAAACTTAGATTTTAGTAATAGAGGAAATCAAATTGTAATAATTGTATCTTTCGAAAAACATTATTAAATTTACATGAACTCATTTAACCTCATTGAGAACAAGGAGAAGACGAGTAGAAGGTCTCTCACCCAAGCTCTTTTTTCTTAAACATTGTACATAGCCGTCGGTAGCAAATAAAAGTTGACCCCACAGTTAAGCCCCAATTTTTAATGCATACATGTATAAATTATGTGTATCTTTGCAAAATATTTATGTGCCTACATGTAACCCCACTTTCCGGTACTGATGCCTATGCTACACCCAAATACATGTATATGTGTTTACATAACTGGTATGACGTTGAAAACTTTCAATAAATTAAAGTTTACATAAAATACATGCAAACTTGAAAAAAATTAAGTACAGTAAAGCATTTAAGCGAGAAAGAATTTTCAAAGTATGAAAAAATCAAAATCGCTCACTTTAATTTCACATCCTGAAGTGACCTCTTCACAGAAGAGTTATCAAACAGGTTCAATTATTTACCATACCTAAGATTTGCAGGAATATTGACAAATCCATACCCATTTTTTTCAAAGTGCGTTAATATGGTCCATATTAACGCACTTTGAAATGAAATTTTATTTTTTCAGAGTGCGTTGACTTGGTCCCAAAATTTAACGCACTTTGAAAAATTTTTTCAAAGTGCGTTGTAACAAAGGTGTAAGGAATTAATCTTTTATACGTTGCGGGTTTGAATCTCACTGACCGTCGCATTACCTCAGACGGTAGAGCGCTCACTCTGTGTTCGGATGGTCTTCAGTTTGAATCTTGTCCATGAGGTACATGTAACATGGGTAACAACTGTAACTTCGCTATGCGCTCGGCACTTTGAAGTGAAAGTTGCGGGTCCATCGGTTGAGACCTTAAAAATGGGGCCCCGTGTCACAGTAGTAGGTTGTCCAATAAAGATCCCTAACAGCTCAGTGGCAGTAAGGTAAGTACCGAATAAAGGTCATTTGAAACCTTTCACCAGTATACGATGACATCTCCATCGGAATGAAATATTCCCCAATTAGACGGAAAACAACAATCAATCAAATACCGTATAAGTAGAAATTTTAGCGAAGATTTAATTTGGGCATTATTAGCGAATCTGTTGAGATCGCTAAAATTGAATATCGCTAAAAATTAATCGCATGTTATTTGTTCTAGCTTCTTTAGTGAGCATTTAAAAATCGCTAAAATTACTTCTCGCTAAAAATAAAATACCAATTTTTAAGGAGAAATCGCTAAATTTGCGTCTCGCTAAAATTTCCACTTATACGGTATCACTTTGGGACGGGGAGATTCGTCCTTCGGACGAGACTGTATACACTGGAAATAGTAAGCGTTGGCACGAAAAACGATCCATCACTGCTCGCTCAATGGCCGTGAGTGGTGAGAATAGGACAAAATTTGCAGCTCTCCACCGGCAGAAGGTGGTGTGACCATATGAGTTAAAAATTCTCGAGAGAGATGATTGATTACACACAAACAAATACATGTACAGTTATTTGGCCAGTTCCGAAAAAGAAACCGATTCGGCGGTGTTATGAATATACTAAGCATTATTTCAAAATCTAATTGTTTTATCGAGGTAGTTCGATGACTTGTGGAATTAAATATAATGTTTCATAAAAGTTCAGCCTTCCCTAAAAAAAAATTATTTCGCAAGTTACCATAGGTGTCCATTTTACCAGTTACGAATAAGCCGACGAGTTCCGGATAACCTAGAGATTCCTATTCAATTCAATCCTGAATTAAGAAATATACGTCCCAGACGTTATCCATTGGCATGCCCAAGAAAAGTTAAATTAATTGCTTACCAATAAATTATTTGTATTTCTAAAGGTTGAAGAGAAACTAGAGGTACTGTGGGCACTGAGTTCATTTTAATGAAGCCCCACACCTTCTTTATAATTATTTATGACAAAACGATCCATGATTTGCTCTGGGAGACCCGAAATCATAAGTGCCAGATCAAAAAGTAAAATACAAGGTTACAATGTCACAATGTAATAAAGCATCGGTGAAAGTATCATTAAATCGTATTCAGTGGTGTAGGAGGAATTGCGGATAAGAGATGGATATACCTTTCACTATTACAAAGAATGCCAGTATCTAATAGATGTTTTTATCAGGGACCACAAATTATGTGCCACATCCAAAAATAAAATAGGTGCGCTTTGTCACTGTTAAACAAAGATTCTGTGAACGACTCATTAAATTCTGTGAAGCCTCATTAAACTTCATTCAGTGGTAAAAGAGGGGTTGCGGATAAGAAATGGATACCCCTGAGCATATCGGACGGACGGACGTACAGACGGATGGATGGACAAACATCCCATTACTATATACCCCTTCTTCCTGTTTTTCAAGCGGGGGTATAATAAGTCACCTTTACAATGAAAAAAAACAAGAAGAGTGAATTTATGATAGTGTTTAAAATGGGTATTCGGAACTGGTAAAATAAGAGAAAGAAAATATTTCGATATCTTCCAGCGTTCTAAATATTTATTTTTGACAAGTTTTTAGTATATGTTAGAGTACATATCAAAATTACTTTTGATACCTGGAACGTTGTCTTATGTGAAATATGTATGTATCTACAAAGGTTTTTCTGCAGACTTGCACGTCGCGGTGATTCAGATTTGTTGCATTGTAAAAGTATGTCGACTGTTTCAAGTACGATAACGAAACCAAACTGACGGCAAAAAATTAAAATTTCACATAATTCAAACTTTCATAAACAAGGCTTCCTACCATAGATAACAATTTATTTTTACACCGTTGAATTTATTAATTATCAGTCCATAAATTACTGATTATTCGGAACTGGCCAAAATCCGGAACTGGCCAAACGACTGTACTTAACTTGAGCTATAACCTCTACGATTTCAGTTTTGCTGTAAGATCATTAAGGTGAGAGAGAGTACCGTCTATAAGTCACAAGGTCTATGTTCACCAAAAAAAAGATTCAAGTTAATATATGTAAAATTAAATTTCCCTTGGCCATCATATGTCAGAAAAGGAGAGGCTTACAGTCACCATGCAATCTTTGTCAGCTGACGTATTTTCGGGTCTCGGAGGATGTTAAACAAAATGTAAGCCATAGTGCATACCTTACTTTTGAAATGTCATGGCTATATCTGAATATTTAAGAAAATAACATGAATAAAGGGCATATAATCTTCAACCATTTACAGTTGAAGCATCTTTGGTTCTCAGAGAAGCTTAATGTTATGAACATAGACTACAGCCTTAAACCTAGTATACTGGGCACTAAGAACATTGAATAGTATGGTATATCTTTTTCGTGCCAACACTTGCTGCTACACGGGACATCAGTTTATTCGATCTCATCGGAAGAACCGTCTTCTAAACAGTGATTTTTTTAAATATAAGATTGGTGCTCCGGATCCCTTTACAATAGTTAATTTCCTGTGAGATATTCAGTTCACTGTTGAATATTCATGCCAATTATCATGTGAAATATTTGTAATTTATACGATTTTTTTTCAAATATTGTTCATATTAAATTGTTTGATTTATTAAAGCCTGTTTGTTTATTCTAGACGCCGTTTGTTTCAGTATCATCTGCAGGTAACTGAAGGTGTTTAGTAAGTTCAATTATATTGGACAGGTTGTTTATTAGACAGAGTGAATGACAATAAGAAATACATTAAACATTATGTTTACCAAAATATATTGTTGCAAAAGTGGTTTAATTTTCTTGATCTTCATGTTTCATTTCAGAAGCATTTACGTCAAAAGAAGCGATAATCAATTAATTTTTAATTTCATCATTAGATTAAAGAACTTAAATTGAATCTTTAAAAGGACACAGTCGAACTTCAGAAAACTCCAGAGGTTGAGCAATTAGTTTAAAAGAAGTTCAAGCAACTCCTGTCGATAACTTACGCCTGTGACCTGACCCCTATCCATGGACTGAGTCCGGCATCTCAGTCAATTACCTCGAGCTGATATTCCTCGAATCCTTGCGGAATAAATAGGAATTTAGGTACATATACAGCTTGAAGCATCCTTGAATGATACAGATATTAGAATCTTCTATCGAATGTGATTATCATAAAGAAGTCAATTTAACTAAGTTTTTTGATACACCTTCTAGCTTTGTTTACTGTAAATCACTTTTTATTCGCGAGAACCTAATTTTTGCGTAATTACGCGAGACAGTGTGCTCGCGAAAATTTGATTCTCGCGTATAATAGCACTCCTTAAGATTATATAGAGCAATAACCACAATTCGTGAAAATTTTGTTTCGCTAATCAAGAGTCAATGACTATCTCGCGAAAATAAGTTGTCGCGAAAATTTAGTGATCTACAGTATGTTTACCCTTGACATTTAATGAGGAAAACTTTAATATCGATATGTGGAAGGGAAAACAGAGAGCGCTAGAAGACAATAGGTGTTTAATGTTCTGAAACACCATCACTATATACATGTACCCATGATAAATCTGTTATATAGTCTAATTAAAAATGTAATAACAATTTACTTACAGATTATGCACTCTTGAATATATCGTTCACATTTTTAGATATGTGCGTCTCTTATCGAGAAGTTACGGAAGCCCAATAGTTTTAACAAATTAAATCTATTTTTAAACTGCTTACAACGTAATTGATATTTGATATATTTTAATATGTTGACGGTGTTAGGGCAAGCGCAGATACCTATTTAGTTTAAATTAAGAACGGGCTTGCCAAACTTCAAGTGATATTTAGTGTGTTTAGACTCTGACGTCACATGACGTCGTGTACGTTGCATTATCAAAACCGGAGCCTGAACAGTGCTGATTTAAATGAAGGACGTTTTATTGACTAATTGAAGTTACTGCGAAAAATAACCCCATTGTCATGATAAAAATAATGGAAAAAACGATATTTTAGTATTCCTGAGTATGCCCAAAATCCGTCACCATAAGCGGAAAACATCCTGTATTTCTCTTCAGATTATATTTTGATTTCTTTCTTGTTTTCTACACATAGTACATGTAGACTTAAACATTGATTTTAGTGATGTTATCCAAAAAAAAATACTCTGTCCATGGGTATAAACCATACCAAATGTGACTGGCGTATAATTATGATGAGAAATGGTGCCTCTTTCAAAACTGCGAATGTGATGTCATGGCTTCTGGTTTCAACATGAACCAAAATCAATTACCTATCTGAACGTTGAGGTCTAGAAAATAGACATTTTTCAGTATCTTTGCAAATAACGATGATGGGCAAATATTTTAAGGATATCTGATCCTCAGCCAGTTAGGATAACTCCAAAAATTGATATTTAATTTGAAAGACATCAAAATGAGGCTTAAAAATGAAATTTTTTCATGCAACAATTTATTTTATTCATCTTTATAAGATTCAAGGTTTTTGAAAGTCTTGGAAAAGGTCTTATAAAAATTGACATTTGTACCCCATAAAAGGAGAAAAAATAATAGTTTAATATTTCCTTAAATCCAGCCTTAGATACCAATGCTTATTAGCATGATATGGAATTAGAAGTTATTTGTGGTGTCTTGCAATGATAGCAAAAGCCTTTTATACACTATGTATTATAAATACATGACGGAAATAGACGAAAAAAACCAAATATGTATAAAAGTCATGACAATTTCTAAGAATGCCTAGATACATATCATCTTTTAACCTAAAATATATTTGTTGATCAATTTTCAATTGGAAAATATATTGCTGATATTCCAATTAGCTTTTTCTGCAAAAATATTGGAAATTTGACAATTTTCCCTATATAATATGATAGAAACTTTCATCTTTAACTTAAAAAGAAATACAGCGGATAAATTTACAAAACTTTTTGGATTCAGAAATACTTTTATTAATTTTTTGATTTCTTAACTGCTTATTTTATAAAGCTGAGGATCGGACTACCTTAATTGGTATCATTATGCACAAGTATACGAGATTGAGAATTTGTAAATGAGTGAACAAAGAAGAGGACACTTTCAGCACACCATAAGGAGGAAGCTATAAGCTATTTTTAGTTCTCTGGAATATGTATGATAACAATCTATTTATATTTCCAGATAAGAAATAATATACAAAATGGAAAGTTTTTGAATAGAGATAAAATAAGATAAATAACTTTAGTCATACACGTGCATTTCATGGCTTGACCTTGATCTATTTCATGCAATTTATTTAAAGCAAACTATTATCGAAATGAAACTATGCCCTGTAAGGATTCAATATTGAATTCGTGGTCATATACTTTAGATTAAAGGCACCAAAACAAATTACTTGGATTTACAATATACAGTTCAATTCTGACTGTGACAAAAAAATTGAAAACTGCAAATAGTATATTGACATATTGATTCATTTTTCACCACATTATTTTTTTTTTCATTTGCATGAAAGAAAGTTAACAAGTATATTCTGTATATCTCCGTGACGCCAGGAAAAGAAAGACAACACATACTGGTAGTTCATGTCGATATCATTGGTCAATGTAACAAAGTGAAAACAACACAAATGCACGTTCAATGATTGATTGATAAAAAAAATTGTATGTTGTTTATCATCCCTCTCGAGAATTTTTCACTCATATGGAGACACCACCACTTGCTCGGTCTCACCCGAAGGACCAGTCTCCATGTCCCACTTTTTGATTCGAACCCGCGACGTAAGGATCAACTCCTTACCTCGTGACTCTAGAGCAGACTGTCAATGAACGTAATCATTCAGGCAACGAAGATGTAATGCAACATCTAACCTAAATGGCGCATGTTATCTCAATTGACAAGGATTAATGTTCAACAAATATTTACTGTAAATATTGATATATCGCTTTGTTGAACAATTTTAAATCTTGTCTCTTAATTTGAATACCATTTTAGCAGCCCGATCTTCAGGTCCTGAAATTCAGGAGTTTGGTAAAATTGAAAATGTTCACAAAAATATCTCTGAAATAAAAAAAACAATGTGTATTTAGCCTTTTTTTCTTCAAAGTTCATCATTAAAGTATTTTTGTATACAGGAAAAATTATTAAATGTACATTGTATTTTCATGAAAATTAAACTAAAGTACCCATTTGGCATTTTCTATTAGAAATCGATAAATAAATATGTATATACATAAAAAGTATCCATGCATTTGATACTTAAATTTTCCATTTATTTCAATTGTTTTAAAATATGTTAGTGCCATCATTGTAAGATATCACAAATCATTTTAAATTTGGTATAATGCTCATAAACATTGACATCTAATTCTTGATCATTGAAGGAAATTCGATTTTATAAAATGAATTTATTTTTGTACTTCAGGGGGTACAAATGTCAATTTTTCACAAGATGGTTGCTTAAGAGTTCATACTGGAGAGTCATACTAGGATGCGTGAAATTTGTTGACGAGTAGATTCAAATTTAGGCTCAATTTTGAGATGAGGATTAGATTTTAATTTAAGAGCTATCCTTTCTGGCTATAGGGAACGGATATCCTTATACAAACAAATTTTTCTCTCTGAACTTTCTATTTAATTTTCTTTGCTTATAGCTTTAATAGTTATTTATTAAAATCCAAATTGCAAACAATTCCCATTTTTTTTTATTATAAGTCAGATAAAAATTTGAAAGGCTTGATGTATAACAATCAAAACGTAAAAGTTGGGATATATTCGGAAATCTCTACACTGAATTTGTAATACTTTAGAATCGTACTGTTTTAGCACTATGTAAGTTATGAAATTCTACCTCCAAAGTTTTTAAAGGTGCATCATTTTCTCTTTGTATCCTAAATATCCCTAACTGAGATTGGAACTGTACAGCTCATTCGGATATGTTTAATTATTTCATTGAAATGTTGTGTTCTAAAATTTCTCAAATACAAGGTACTTAGCTGGTCAACATTTTCGATACTATTATTCAGATTACATGGGTTTACATAATCCTTGGCAATGAACAGCTCTGTGTTGGAATACGCAGAAAATTCGTATATAGTCATACACATTAAATTATTGGTAATTTTCACAAAATAATTATGATTTGTAAATTAAAGAAAGCGTCAGTGCATTTAAACACCAATTCTCTGTGAAGATTGAAATACTAGTACTACTGAAGAGTTGTGGAACACTCGAATAGGCCTTTCCATGAGCCCATCTCAAGTTATTAATACCAATACAATATGAAATAGAGAAAACAAACAGTATTCAAGCTCAAAAGTTCATAAACAATTCGAAAAAGGAGTAGAGCAAACATGGACCTCCAAAACATCAGAGGTGGGATCAGGTGCAATGGAGGGGAAGAGCATCCCATGCCGACTGATCACAACCACCTTGTGCTCTTTGTCATGATAGTGAAAATAACGGAAAAATCCGTTTTCAATTCAGTGTGTAAATAATAGACTAATGGTATGAAAAAAAAAACTCAGTCATTTGACTGCATTTGACTGGATGATAAATTGTTCAATGTATCGATTTTGCTATTGTATCGATCAAAGAACTTACGAAATGATGACTCTAAACGAGACTGCAGAGATTCTAGTTCATCAACTTGTTTGTCAATCAAAAGAGTATGCTCTTGCGAATCAAATCAACTGAGATATATAAACTCCGTATGCAGATGATGAAGTCATTTTGAAACATAAGCAAGGGATGTTGACGATTGACGTCTGTGAAATATGAAAGTCCTAGTACTCTATGATTCAAAAGTTATGGCTAATGTTAAAGTTTTAAAAGTGGGCCAAACTCTAGGATTAAGGTCAAAAGGTCATATATCTAAACACTCTATGGAAGGATTTGTCACAGTGGATACACATGTGAAGTATAAGAGCTTAAGCACCAACTAATTAAAAGTTATGGCCTTTGTTCGATTTTTAGTAAAAGTGGGTCAAGGGCACGAGGTTAAATTTGGTGTTACCAAAAGAATTATCTTGTCACAAGTGTTACACCTTTGAAATAGGAAAGCCCTTCCCCCACTAACTCAAAAATTATAGACAATGTTAAATCTTTTGCGGGCTAATAGACAGATAAATAGATAAATAGATAGACCGACAGACAGAGGGACATGGCAAAACTCTTTACCCCGAATCTTCGATTATGGTTACTCTTTTGGTTGCCATGGTAACGAGCTAACACATATTTTGCCTATCAACTCATATTTCAAGCATTAAAATGCTATATTGATTTTACATGGTTCAATCATCTAAATTATTTTGAGAAAATTCATAATCAGAATTCATAAATTCAGAAATGTAGGCAATTCAAGAAAAAATACATTTGAAATTTAAAAGAAAAACATTACACCGGTAATATTTTAACTTTTTATGAAAAGTAGAGTGGGGATTTATTTAAGTGTTCAGTTTTTGAAAACTTCCAAAATTGGAATTTTACCGAATAATGTTTTGTTTAACATCTTGTCAGACACTGGTTGTACCTGTCAAATAATTCTTTTGTTATATTTTTTTTTACAAAGTACATGTAATAAAGACAAACTGAATGATAAATGAATAATATTGAAAATACTGCGGTATTAAATAAGATAAAACATTGTTAATTGACTTACTGGGAGTATTATTGTTTCTCTTTTACCCTTTACAAGGGGCATAAATTAGGTTAATTACATGTAGTTATAATCCGTAGAGTAACAGAAAATCAATATTAAATATTAATCAAAACCTCTATTCATTGATTGTACATGCGCTTCAAAGCTCATTCACTATACATGAAAGACCATCTTGAAAAATGTATGTATGTCATCTCCCGACTGACTTAAAACTGTCCTTCTCGAAACTTTTTGTAAACCTCCAGGAAACATTTTTTATTCCATCAAAAATGGTCTCATCTAATTTATGATTTTTTTTTTACTTTGTATTCACAATTGAAGAGGCAAATCGCATTTGATAGACATTTTCGCTTACTCTAGTAGTGATTTTGTAAATACATTGTTTAACCAAAATTTTGTCATAACATCTTAGTTCAAACATTTGTAAAACCGAATCACACAATAATGATATTTTAATATTAATAGTTCCCCGATATAATAGATATGAAAAATAATCGGTTTGTATGGAGTATATAGTAAATATTGAGGTCGATGACAAACTGTTGCCAAAAACCACCCTTAACCAGAACAACAGCTTTTGAATAATTTTATGTGGACATGACTGCAATTCATAACATTTAGATAATTTTGGTCTTCATATTGAAAATGATGAAAATGTAAAAATTACGTTCAATTTTTTCTCTCATAATATCTTAAGATTTGGTAATCTCTCTTAAATCATTATTATTAATACGTCAATGTATTCGTTGGCGCAGTGGTATGATTGCTGAATTGTAAATATGGTAATTGCAAGTTTGATTTACACAATCTAAATCTATTTTTTTAATTAATGATTTTTTTCTTTGAGAATCTTTTCTACGTTTTTACTCATTATGCTTTATAATATACATGTATACATAATTTCAGAAAGTTATAAAAACATATTACATTTAAAAAGTATCACGGGAAAAGAAATTCTGCATATTCATAGCCAATTGTTTTATTCTCATTGATTTTCTAAATCTTTTGTCTCAGAATAAGAGTAGTGAACAAGTAAAATGATTGTCATGTAACATACTTGCAACTATAAAAAAAAACTCTTGTTCACAATTAATATCTAATAATTTGATCTTCACTAGTCTTGCAGAGGTATATCTATAAATAGAAAAAAAAAATATTTCCTTTCAAATTCTTCAGTCGACCGTGTCGTCGGTAAAGCAGCTATGGCTCCTTGAATGAATAAATTCTCCTATCTCTTTTGTTTTATCCCCAGTTGTAATAGGGAAAGCAACCATTTTTAAAAGAATGACTGAATAATTTTATGTTAAAGGTACTTGGACACAGATTTGAAGTTATCATTTTCTCTATAATATTACGACTTATACACCTGTATATTTTGATAGCATTTCACACAAAAATTAATTAAAAATCTTACTTCATATAAAAAATATTTAAATTTCAAATTTTTTGGCGGGTTTGATTGACACATCCTTGCACTTTCACAAATTAATTTTATTCGTAATCCTGAGGAAAAGTGGCAATTTCGTTTTGTATAAATGAAAAATATTAATACCATAATCCATAAAATTCAGAGTAGACATGTTCGAAATGAAAACAAACACACAATATATTGTCATTCCGTGCAATTGTGGTAAGCAGACTGTGACGATTGAACGCACCCGGTGAATTTTAAACATAAACAATAACAGAACTCGTGCCCTGTTTACAAAAAACTGTGTACATAACATGTGCTCGATTTGCTAAACTCAGTACGCAACTCTTAGTTCGGAATGACGATAGTTGTGAAAGAGTTTTGCTTTCTAATATTTCTACTCTGAATAAAATCATTTTTCTGGATAAAAGTTTTAATATTTCTAATTTTAGTACACAACAAGATTGCCACTTTTCCCAAGGATTAAGAATAAAATTTGTGAAAGTGCAAGGATGTGTCAATCAAACCCGCCAAAAAAAATTAAATTTTAATAACTTTTAAATGAAATAAGATTTTTAACTAATTTTTGTGTGAAATGCTATTAAAATATATAAGTCGTAATTTTATAGAGAAAATATTGATTTCAAATCTGTGTCCAAGTACATGTACCTTTGAAGTTTGCTTTAGTTCAAAGCCAAAGAAACACGAACAAGTCTTGGACGCATCACATTTTCAGTGACATACATTAATTATTTATATGATCTCTAACTTGCAGATAACAACACCTTTGTGAATACTTTTTACAATTTCATCAAGCATACAATATGTAGGAAAATATTATCCAGAAAAGCAACTGGGACACATTCAAATATACTATATGCAAGTATTATCATAAGGATTTAAAAAAAGTAAGGATTAATATTTACATAGTTCAGTCCATTCTAATGTTTTTAACATTTCATCGTGACTAAGATTTGGGGGGCCAGCATTAAAAAGGGGGTTTTGTGCTTTTTGCGTTTATCTACAAAATATCCAACTTTCACATGCAAATTCAAAACGATCTTTAATAATTATTATTATCATTATTTTTTTATCCACTTTTTTATATAATAGTGCAGTCACTACTCATTTCTGGAAGTCCATACTTCAAGGAAAAAGTTTTAATTGGAAGCATCACTCCTTTCCTGTAGAAAAAAACAACAACAACACATCACTGTAAAATTCGAACTTATTTAAAAATTTAATTACTATCTTTTATATACTGATAATTTGGTATCTAAAAATTTTGCAAATGAAAGTTCAATGTCTAAAATAAAATATTCAACAGACAAAATAATCCTGTAAATGCATACGATTTCTTATGCGATTGAATTATCGGCTGCAGTAGTTGTAAATTAAATTATGTAGCAAATATCAGTTTTTGATAATCTATGAAACATATAAAATAAAGACTATTTCTATCAATAGTTGTAACTCATCTATAGTCGAAGATAATGTATAAAATGTTGAAACGTATTTCAAAAAATTTGATCGCAGATATACATGCATTCTGATAACGTTCTTGGAAAAATCTAACTGTCTAAAACGTTTTTGTTCGAAAGTAAAACTTATAAGTTTCGACTCAAAACACTTGGTATAAAGGAAGGAGAAAAAGTTTCCAATTTGTTCTAATGGATAATCTACAGTTTTAATAGAATTTTAAACTAATTGTAAGAAACAGTATTCGATAGAGCTGCTCTCATATTATGGTTTAACGTAATTTAAATAGACTAGTCCAATTGCTAAAATTTGGAAAATTAAAATATGCAGCACTACTGGATTTTCAAGAGTAAAAGGCCCAATTTACCAATAGAACACATTAAGGTCGATACTCTCAAAATGCCTATGGTCATATATAAGATTTATCTGTTATTCATTCTTGTAAATTAGATAGGTTTCCTTGTCATTAATCCTAATTTTCAATTGAACAAGAACAAAAAAGTGTATAATAGAATTTGAGAAAGTATTGACATCTTATGTGTACTTTAATATTCAATTGCTGGCATCCACTTAACATTAAATCCTCTAAAATGTATTCAAAATGAGCTACCTTTCTCTCTTGAAGTGCATAAGTTTTCCTCAAAATATCCAGTATCAGACGACCCTCTAAAACATGCCTCTCATTGTCTTCCTTGCCCTCTTCTTCTGCAGTGGCAAAGTCATTCGGGAGTACGACAGCTGGGTGTCGCCAAGGCTGTTCTGCATCACCTAATATAACGTTAAGGACATTGTTTTCTGAACCCATGCTGGGATCTTCCTGTATTTTTTCAATTATTATGCCATCATTGTCTTCGCTCTTCAAAGGATTTTCGTGATAAAAGAATAGTATGAAGTTTGCTCTTTTGATTGTGTCTTTGTAATATTTTGAAATCGTACGTCCTGGCAAGCACTCATCCGCATTCAGTGTAACATTGAATTTTACGAAAAATGACTCTGTCAGTAAACGAACTAACTTCTCTGCAAGCGGACATCTTTCTTCACAATGGTGCAGAATGTAGAAATCAATTACATCATCTTCATCAATGCAGTTGTCATGATTTTCCCATGTTGGAATGCATTTCTGGCATTGTAAGAGCCTCATCTTTGTTTCCTCAAATTTTCGATTCTCTATCGAATAAAAGGCTGCATCAGAATACATTTGAAATATGAATTGCCCAGGTGGGGTGTTGGGGTCTTTATTTATAATAAGTCTATTTAATATACCGATGGCATTTTCATAATCACCAGCAGCTTTTAAACTTTCAACCATCTTTTGATAAACAACTCTAGTTTTAGGCTCACATTTCGAGTAAAGGTCGTATGCCTTTTTGTACTCGTGTGACTTTTCATACAATGAAGCAAAGTCATGGATGTCATTACTGTTTTCTTTTCCCAAGTTGCAACATTCATATTTCTTCTTAATTTCTTCTATCACTTGGACACAAGTACAAGCACTTTTCAGTTCTGGGAAGGAGTCTATATACAGGGTCAAAATATCCAAAGCTCTGTTTAAGGCATCCACTGCATCGATTATATCGTTTTCATTGTCATTGGTTTTAAAGAGATCTAATTTACAGAATGCCTGTTGCTCATATGCAAGAATCAATTGAATTTGGTTACTTGATTTCCCTTTGTAACTATTTGTTATGTACCTAAAGGTTTTGAGAGCTTCATTAGGTTTTCCAAGCGATCTTTGAACGAGTCCTAAGTCATATCGTGCATTATCAAAAGATATGTCCATAAGTAGAGCTTTTTCTAGATTTTGTTCAGCATTCAGCAGACGTTCATCTCCTGGATACAGCAAAACATATCGACAGGACTTCATTTTTGCTCTTATTTGTGAGGAATCCCTAATCGTCTTTGATTTATCACTGCTGCCACTCCTCAAACCTAGACCATCAACCTTTGTGGAATCTTGTCTTGACATGTTTTCCAATTGGGAACGCTTTTTCTTCTTTTCGTAATGTTCTTCTAAGACCATTTTTTGAAAAGTTAGTCCAAGATGATGATAAGCAGCTGGAGTTTTACGAACTTTCAGAGATCGTTCAAGTATTTCATTTGATTTCTGCAAGTTCTTCTGATATCTCAAGATCTGCCCGTATCGCTCTAAGGCATGATATGACTGTGGGTTGATTTCTATAGCCTCTTCAAAGTATTCCATGTAGTTCAAATTTTCATACTTGTCTTTTTCATTGTGATGATTATATAATATAAATCCGACTTCACACAATGAGTTTGACTTCAGGATTTTTGAAGAAGTGCATTCAATAATTTTCTTAAATTTTTCATAGGCCTCTTTATCATCGTCTACATCCTGCGTATCTTTTTTATTTTGAATGTTAAGTAGATGTGCTTTTCTATTAAGTGTTAATGCAAAATGAAACTGCCAGCAATCTACAAATGTAGACATCTTGTCAACAGATTCGCGAAACATTTTTATGGATTTTGTCAAATAAAATGGACCGAGCTTTGACATACAGACAGCTAACTCAGCTTTTGCAATATATTTCAGTTCCTGGAAATCATCTCGTTTGGATAATTCTTTAAATCGTTCAATAAATTTTCTTGACTCAGCTACATTGCCATTTTCTTTGTGAAAATGAAACAGATTACACAAGGTTATAATATTGTCTGTTACTCCCGTGGCTGTAAACGTACACTTACTTCCAAGTTCAACGGCTTTGATGGCTAACTCCATTGCCTTTTCCTTCTCATCGTATGTCCAGTGTAGGTACGAAACAAAATTATGAAAACAAATAGTTTCTTCAATTGTGCCATATCCATATTCAATGTCTTGTTCTAGCTTTTTTAATCTTTCTTTGATTTTTTTATGATTGATAGATTTAATTTCTGTTTCTAGAGAGAATGAAGAAAACTTCCTCATTTCTTCTAAGCATGACGTATTCTCTTCCTCACTGTTATGAAACATTGCCACCTAAAACAGATTTTGAACAAAATTATTGAAAATGCAATGTATATCATATGTCAAACATTGCAATATTCGATCTTTTCCATTTGTATGATATACTTTTTATTTGTATTTTATGAATTTCCATTTGCATTTAAAAAAACTATTTGAATAATATAATTACAAAATACCATCATATAATGACAAAGTACCAGAATATAATGCAAGTTCTGCACATAAGGCAGTTACAGCGTTCCATAATAATTTATTCAATCCAACATAAACATGTATAGAGAAATTGATTTTCATATTTCGCATAAGTTATGTACACTGTACATATAAAGCTGCTGCGTGTCGTTGCTATATCCAAATGGTGTGTTTGTTGTTTATTGTACTTTCATTTGAAAGTAATGAATGGATTTAGAGTAGAAATGTTGAAGGATAGCCATTTAGATGTAAAGGGAGAGCTGTTGTAAAGACGAATAATGACCCCCATCAAATAATGACCGGGGGTCATTTTTCGACAGCGAAAAATGACCCCCGGTCATTATTCGACGTAGAAAAATGACCCTTTTACACGTAGAAAAAGTGTCACTTCCCTAAAAATTTGCAGAACCCACGTGAAGAAAAATGACCCCCGTGGAAAAATGACCCCCTGTAGATTAAAGCTAAAATTTTTAGGGGGCAAAAAAAAAAATTAGATAAAGAAGCATATTGGCCAAAAAGCTCACCTGAGCTTATTGGGAATAAGCTGATGATATGTTGATCTCATAACATTATACAATTATAGCCGTATTTTAAGGTAAATGCAATGATTCAGAATCTAAAGGAGTAAAAGATTTATCAAGCCATAAGGGTTAGGTAAACATTGTTTTTTGATGGTGGAAATCATCGAACTGACAGAAAAAATCAGCAGTATATATATTATTATATCCTCCGCTTGAAAAGCGGGAGGGTATATAATGATCCGTCTGTTACGCTTTGAGGTATCCATCTCTTATCCGCAAATCTTCATAAATAAAAAGATGTGTTTGTGAAACATATATGCCCCTGTATGGCAACATAGCGAAGATTCAACTTTTCTTAAATGCAATATAAATATATTGTTACCCAAAGTAGGGTCTTCTCACAAGAAATACAACTGCAAAATAGGAAAGCCCTAGCACCACTTGTTCAAAAGTAATGGCTAAGGATAAGTTTTTGAAAGGAAGGTCAAACTCAAAGGTCAAAGTTGATGATTTCTTAAGAAAATGCTTAATGTAACAAGGATTACATATGTGAAGTATGAATATCCTAGCCCTTACCGTTCAAAAGTTATGGCCAAGGTAAAAAAAATCATAAGTACGGAAAACTCCAAGGTCAAGGTCAAATGGTCAAGGTTTTTAGTATCCAATGAAAGGTTATGCCAAAAAACTACATATTTGAAGTATGAGAGTACTAGTATCTACCGTTTAAAAGTTATGGCCAAAGTAAAAATTTGGCATTTTTGTGTAAAATGGGACAAACTCTAAGGTAAAGGTCAAAAGGTCAAATTTAGTGGTACCCAAAGTAAGGTCTTGTCACAAGGAATATACATATTAAAAATGAAAGTCATAGCTCCAATAAATGAAAAGTTATGATAAAGGTTAAGGTTTTTGCGGACAAACAAACCGCCAGATAGACAGACGGACATACAGACGAACACGATAAAACTATATACATGTACCCCCGAATCTTCGATTACGGGGACATAAAAAGAAATGGTCTTCAATTAACTTTTCATATTAATATACATTATAAAGAAGACGTTACAACAATGAAAATGTTTGATCTGATTTTCATATTAAATTCTCTGAAAAGTATACTCAGAACTGAGTAAAAGGGTGGAGTAAAACAAGAATTAAGGTAGAACCTATGTCGGAAAAGTCTGTCACAAGATTTTCAAACTTTTCAAAATGATAAATTAGTACTTGCTTATCAATCAGTTCAATTAACATAAAAGATAAGTCCACCATTAAAAAAAATAGTCAAATGAACTCTATTATTTTTATTCAATTATGCACCTTATATTTGTAAATATTTTTTAGAAGTCTATGTCACAATGTTTTCAATCTTCAATATAATGAAGAGCATAGCCAAATGATTACAAAAAATGATTAAAATATATACGTTTCCCCTCTAAATGCTCTAACTAATGAAAGATAGGCTATTTACCGATACTCATATTCTTGACCTCTTTGCACTTACACGGGATTTAACAATTAAATGACTGTTTGGGGTTATTTCAGAATAAATATTTATCAGAAATTGTACTTTTACTTTAAAAAGATCATATTTAATAGAAAAATTGTAATCAAACACCAAGAATATGAATAGGTAACAAATAATTGTTAAAAGGAATGCACATCATTTCATTATAGGTATCACAAAAATGTACACACGATCAAAAGATCTACAAGACCTACATCTTTGACTAAGACACATTTCATCAAGATATTACACTATATAGCTGGCAACTAAAGATATCTTACGATTTATGCATTCCTTCAAAATGGTTACATACCTTTCAAATTATTACGAAAGTTGTATGTACATTGTAATTTCATTACACTAGATAGTCTTGGGTTTGTCAACTTCAGGTCAAGATCTAGTAAATAAAAGGTGCCTACATATTTTCTCTTATTGCAGAAATATTTTGCCATTAAGCATTATAAACCAAAAAATATATGAATTGTATTAAGATTATTTTGGCATGATTGAATTCTGTGAATTTCAAAATGCAGTATTTTCTACCATTTTTATTGAAGCTGTCAAGTACGTGAAAAAGCATCGTCGGAAACCCACGGTCGGTCTCGCTTCTAAGAGAAGCGAGACCGACCGTGGGTTTCCGACGATGGTGAAAAGTGGCATTGAATTAATTATGACGTCTTAATGGGTTAGCACAGGTTTAACACATTTACCAGTTATGATGTCATACGAAGAATGACTGTGTATTTTACACTAGCCCATGGCTTTACAGAGCATATTTTAGGTCTTATACTTACCCCACCCCCTTTCTTATTTAGGAGGAAGTCAATATTGAACAAAAGCAAAAAAAAAAAACAACAACAACAAAAACACCCTACCTTTATTTTTCTATAAGAAGGAATTAGAAATAAGCTAAAAATAATCTACTATTCTACTTATTTTTAACTGTTACTTTGCCACAATACTTTCAAGTATACCTCCACCAACATTTAAAGTATGCTTTAATCATGGCGAAGTAAATTATGATATTATAGTACCTGTGTAAAGGCTTAGGTTCATTTCAATATTATATCTAGAGCCTCTTTCAGAATCATTGAAATGTATAGAGTTTTATTTATATGTTTGCTTTTCATTTATTATTTAATTTTTTTGAATTGATTTAACGTAATGTTCTTTTTTTTGGGGGGGGGGGATAAGAATTTCCTCCTTTTTCATTGTCAAATAGGATTTGCCAAACTTAAACAAACTAAAAGTTGAAATGACGGAAATTTTCATTTTTCCTATTAAAGAGTATTTAAACCTGATTTTTGCATGGTTTGATTTCTAAAAACAAGTGGAATATCATTCTTTAAACAAACTCTATAAGGAGGAATATTAAAAAGAAATTTTATTTACTTGACAATTAAAGAATCTCTTTTCAAACACAATTTTTGCATTGAAAGACTACATGAATCTCTTAATTATTTCATACGACTTTTTGTATTTTTCTGGTTACAGAAAATGTAAAAATTAGTTTCGCTGTAAAAAAGATATCAAAGAGTGCATATTTTGTATCACTTTAAAAGGGGTCATTTTTCAATGGGGGTCAGTATTTTATAGGACTAACATATAAAATAATGACCCCCTAGGACCTTTTTTCTACAAAATATGATTTTTTTCTACGGGTGGGGGTCATTTTTTGTCGTTGAAAAATGACCCCCCGGTCATTATTCGATGGTGGTCATTATTCGTCTTTACACCGGCAAATAGCAAATAAATAATCTGTCCTTAGTAAATTTTGTTTGAGAAAAAAAATTCTTTGATCTTTACTGGTGGTACCTCAGCCTCTCACTCCCTGAGAAATAAAACTTTCGGGTTTTGGCGAATATTCTTTTTTATCCTTGTTTCTGGTCATCTCCAAATTAAATATTCTCTCTAATAAGAACATGGGAATATAAATAATCAAATGTTTCCCACCCCCTCCCCCGCGAAGAGCATTACCAATTACGCAAATACATGTAGATGAGTCAAGATCACCCGAAACATATCTCGCTTGGTTGAACGTACTGCAAATAAGACTAATTGCAAATATACTTACAATTTTACTGACTTACAGATTATGCACGTATGAATATAGCTTTCACATGATTCACCTTATCACAATACATCCTCATGTGATGTATATAAAGATTAATGTAACAAAACACGGAAGGGACAAAATATCATTATCATATGAGCCACCGATTGCGACTGATATTTTTATGCCCCGTGAACGAAGTTTCGGGGGGTATATAGTTTTTGTCGTGTCCGTGTGTCTGTCTCTCTGTTCGTCTGTTTGTCCGCAAAAACATTAACCTTGCCATAACTTTTGATTTAGTGGAGCTATGACATTCATATTTCACATGTGTATTCCTTGTGACAAGATCTTTCTTTAGGTACCACCAACTTTGACTTTTTGACCTTGACCTAGTCCGAAAAATCTGACGTTGGAGTTTTACCAACTTTTACACAAAATTTTGAACTTTTACTCAAATGGCCATGTCTTTTGAACAGTAGATACCAGGACATTTACATTTGATTTATTCATCGTGAAAGGAGCTTTCATTGGTAATGGATATCAACAATCTTGACCTTTTGACCTTGACCTTGGAGATTTTTGTACTTATATAAAAACTTCAACCTTGGCTATTACTTTTGAATGGTAAGAGCTAGGGTTTTCATATCTCACATATGTAATTCTTGTGAGAATTCCCTTTATTGGATACCAAGAAACTTGACTCTTTGACCTTGGAATTTGATCTTCTTTAAAAATACAACCTTGACCATAATTTTTGAAAAGTGAGGACTAGGGCTTTCACACTTCACATATTAAATTCTTGTGACAAGACCTTTCATTTGATATCAAAAACCTTGACCCTGGAGTTTGACCCACTTTTACACAAAAATTACAAACTTTTACTTTAGCCCTAATCTTTAAACGGTGGATACTAGGAATTTCATGTTTTAAATATCAGTTTTTTGGCAAGGCCTTTCATTTGAAACCAACAATTTTGACCTTTTGACCTTGGAGATTTTCGTACTTACAAAAAAACTTTAACCATGGTCATAACTTTTGAATGGTTAGGGCTAGGGCTTTTATACTTCAAATATGTAATCCTTGTGAGAAGACCTTTCATTGGATATCAACAACTTTGACCTTTGACCTTGACCTTTGAGTTTGACCGACTTTTTTACAAACTTTAACCTTGGCCAGGTGGTGCTAGTGTTTTATATTTCATATTTGTATTTCTTGTGAAAAGGCCTTACTTAAGGTAACAACATATTTGATCTGCATTTGAGAAAGCTTAACTTTCGTTATGTTGCCATATGGGGGCATCAGTGTTTCACAAACACATCTTGTTTCACACTCTTAGTATGTCATTCGGATTAAAGCAATCGAAAAATGTAACGCTAACTTGATGTCGGCTCACGCTACACTGAAATAAATCACTTTACATTCCCTGCGATTAAATGAAATGCACTGTAATTATTACAATACTAAACATAAAATAACATCTAATCGATTTAAGTATAGTTCAAGCAATTTCCGAAATAACAAGATATGTTTCTGAAACACTGGTACCGCCGTATGGCAACATAACAATGGTAATAAAAAAAATTCACAGATGCAAATCAAACATGTTGATACCCAAAATAAGGCCTTCTCACAAGAACGAATGTGAAATATAAAACCCTAGCAACACCTGATCAAAAGTTATGGCCAAGGTTAACGTTTTTAGGTCAAACTCCGGAGTCACAACCAAAGGGTCAAGGTTTCTAAAGAAAGATCTTGTCACAAAGATTACATTTGGGAAGAATGAAAACCCAATCCTTAACCATTCAAAATCCATTGCCAAGGTTAAGGTTCTTAATAATTACGTTAAACGCAAAGGTCAAGGTCAAAGGGCCAAAGTTGTTGGTATCCAATGAAAGGTCATTGTAATAAGGATTACATTTGTGAAGTATGAAAGCCCTAGCCCTTACAGTTCAAAAGTTATAGCCAAGGTTAAAGTTAATTAAAAGAAGGTCAATATCCAAAGTCAACGTCAAAAGGTCAGAATTGTTGGTATTAAACAAAGGAGGTCAATCTCTAAAGTCAACGTCAAAAGGTCAAAATTGTTGATATTAAACGAAAGGTCTTGTCACCAAAAATGTTTTGGTGAGGAATACAAGGCTTAGTATCAACCGTTGAAAAGTTATTGCCAAAGTTAATATTTTTGAAAAGTAAGTCAATCTCCAAGCTCAAAATGTTGGTATCCAATAAAGAGTCGTGTCACAAGCAATACATACTTGACGTATGAAGGATCTAGCACCAACGGTTCAAAATTATGGCTAAAATAAGAGTTTGGAACTTTGGTATAAAACTGTATCAAACGCTAAGGTCAAGAGGTCAAATTTAGTGGTACCAAAGAAAAGTCTTGTCACAAGGAATACACCTGTGAAATAAAAAAGCCATAATCTCACCCAGTCAAAAGTTGGGGGCTAGGTTTAATTTTTTTTTTTGCAGACAAATAGACAAACAGATAGACAAATGGACAAGACAAAAACTATATATCCCCGAAAATTCGTTTACGGGGGCATAAAAATCCGTGGAAAGAAATGAGAAATTCTTGGTTCGACATAGAATTTACCTTGTAAAGTTTATGTTGAAAATTCAAGAACATAGCTCGTAGAAATACATAATATACACGTATTTCAGGATAGAGGTCAAGCTTGGTTGTTTTCTAGAGTACAATTATACATGCATGCTAGTGAATATGCACAGAAAGCCTGTATACATTTTGAAGTAAAAGTAATTATTATCCTTCAGAATTATACAGTCAATCTGATTGGTTTAGTGCAGGGAGACAACTCGTGATGTCTCCCTCATGCGCAGGGTGACAACTGTTATCTCCCTTCAGATTACAATGAAATAGCGTAAGGGTTACAACTGTGTTGCCGCCCTTTCAATGAATAAAACTACAGTGGTTTAAGCGAAATAACTCCTATTTATAAGTACAATGGCTAATTATGCGTGATCGGTAAACAATAAATTCTAACAATGACGTAAAAGTTGTCTGTTGACATATTTTGAAAGTATGGAATCGGAGCAGAGTAGAAGAAAATAGGTTTGATTACTATTTTCTACTCTATCTAATTAATAATTCTATATTCTTCAGGATAATAAAACTATTATGGACTGTTTAGAAGGGAGACATCACCAATTTATCAGGTCTGAGTAGGGATGTCACCCGAGGGCGCTTGCGCTTGCGCCCTCGGGTGACATCCCTACTCAGACCTGATAAATTGGTGATGTCTCCCTTCTAAACAGTCCATAATTGTATAGTATAACATTTTTTTTGTATCTTACGAGTCAGCTCTGCTGTAGAGCCTATAATAGCTCCTCGGATGAAGAATGTAACTTAAACTGTAAAATATTTGATTTGGAGCGCTTTGCATATTTCAATCAGTCATATTATTTCATTCAATACGAAAATTCAATGAAATACATAATTGTATTTTTTTCTTCTATTGAAAATTGACAAATACTCAGTTTTGGGTCTTAACTTTCAATCAATTTTGTATTCTAAAAATAAGGATTTGGATAGCTTTTCTGGATGAATTCATCTGAATCAAGGAGTGATTGATAAACAAGGAAGAATAAAAACGTTTTTATTACCAAATCAAACCTAAACGTGACTATCAAAGAAACACAATTCTTAAAGGATTTGAAGAGAACTCATAAAATTAGTGTATTTGTTAGATGCCAAGAAAAACAGACAAGTAAATGTGAAGGAAATTGGCGAAGAACGCGCAAAGAATGCCTAAATAAATCTAGCTTGCGATATATAAAATAAAATTAAATCTGTGAATTGAACATTTTTAATAAAGTTCTCAGTATGGTAATGTTTGTGGCTATGAAAATTTTTAATTAAAATTTTCTCGGTACTTTTTTAAATATAAAAATGTGGTATTCGTGGGGTTCGAAATCTAGCATGAAAATTCTGAGTATCATTTACCATGTTTAACTTTGTAGTGTGTAGATGTATACTCCATTCCTACGATACCGGTGGTTCTACGGTACCGGGGTATTCCTTTATTTTTAAAGTCGCGTGCGAAACGCGACACCTAGCGGCCAGTTATTTTTAGGGAAGATTGGTGATACCTTGCTGTCGTATCTCTCGCTTTAAAAATAAAGATTCGCATCGTCTGGTAAGTAATCAACATCTACATTAAATTGTTAACTTTTTTAACTTAACGAGCAATAGCCTGCATACCCTATATCGTAAAAACATTAAAATTAGCCAAATTACAAGTGCATTACAATACTTATCGGCAGTTCTGTTATCGTCTGGTATATTTACATCAAGAATGATGTCATGTATCACGTGATCACTCATGTTGAAAAAATGTATGGAGCGCAGTTCCAGGAAAAAAATTTATAAAACATAAGAGATTTTACATATGTAACTTAAAATAAGTTAGAATATTTTACCATGAATTAAACTTTTATAATAATGTTATCATCTAATTATCTTTTGGTTTAAGGGCACAGCAGGGAAAATTCAAAAAATTAAAATGAAATACAACAGAGAAAATCTTAAGAAAGCATTCAATGCTACTTTGGAGGGGATGTCGGTGTACAAGGCAGCAAAGGTGTGTAGTGTGCCAGAGTCCACTCTAAGAGACAGAACTTTAGGAATTGTTCCCATTGATGTGTCAATTGGGTTTACACCTATCTTCAACAGAGAGGAAGAAGAAAAACTGGTGGCACATATTAAATACATGGCTGATGTGGGTTACGGCTACAACAAAAGAGGAGCTCGAGAATATGCAGCAAGTTTGGGAAAAGATCTAACACAGCAAAAGTCAAACTCATCAACCTTAAGTAATTGTTGGTTTTATGGGTTCTTGCACAGATGGCCAGATTTGAAAGTAGCATCTCCACAGAAATTGACAACCTGTAGAGCAGAGGCAGCATCTAGGCATAAACTTAATTCCTATTACAAAGAACTGTCATCCATAATGACACGGCACAACATTAGACAAAGCCCTGAGCAAATTTATAATATAGATGAAACTGGAATCAGCACAGAGCACAATCAACCAAAAATTATTTGTAGTAAAAGCACAAAACCACAAGCCATTACATCTGCTAGATCATCACTTACCACCACCATAGCTGCTGGAAATGCAATTGGAAATCATTTGCCACCATTCTATGTGTTTAAGGGGAAAAGATGGTCGGATGATTTACTGAAAGGGTCTGTTCCTGGGGCTGAGGGCATCATGACAGAGACTGGATGGTCCAACACACAAGTATTTGAAAAATACTTGACTGAATTCTTTGCAAAGCACACGGGAATCAGTGACAGTAGGAACCAGAGGTCTGTTTTGGTATTATATGATTGGCACAAGTCCCATGTCAGTCTCACCTTAACAGACTGGGCGAAGCGACATAATGTCATTTTATTTGTCCTGCCGCCCCATACAAGCCACCTTACCCAGCACTTAGATGTTGCTATTTTCGGTCTATTGAAATCTATGTATAATAAAGAGTGTCAGATGTTTTTACAAAGAAATCCTGGAACCAGTATCACAAAACATCTAGTTGCTGAACTTACAGCAAAACCTTATCTTAGAGCCTTATCACCTGAAAACTTAACATCAGCATTCAAAAAGACAGGAATCTATCCATTTAACAACAAGGTCATTTCAAATTCAGAAGTTGCTCCATCCATCATATACGAGCACAATCAAGACAAGGACGATACTGACAACAACAAAGATCAAACCTCTACAAAGTCGAAAAAATCTGGGAAGGAAAACATTGAGATAGACTAAGATGACACATTTTTAGATTCTAGAAAGATTCAGACTATACCAAGAAAACCAAAGAAAAAATTCATACCTCCATTTATTGCAGGAGATTTACTAAAGCAAAAAAATCAGAAAACACTAAAAGACTGCAGTGCAAAAAAAACCAGCACCAAAAGAAAAATCAGCACCAACAACTGTGACAAGAAAATCCAAGAAGCAAATTCCAGAAAAAAGTGGGCCATCAACATCAGGATCAAACCAAAAAGGGGGCAAAGTTGGCGTAGAAGATGGTGACAGGGATAGTTTGGAAAATACAGATGATGATGATGAAGTATGCTGTGTCTGTGGATTATGGGAGCCAGGAAAACTTAGAGAGATGGCCAGCTTAACTTTTGTGAAATGGGCAAAATGTGACATTTGTGGACACTGGACTCATTTATCCTTTTGTTGTGAGGAAAGGGAAGTAAAAGAATATTGTTCTTTTAAATGTCCCCATTGTTAAAGGAGTTTGTGAATTATTAACTAATTCAATTTACAACTGCAAATGATTCAAAAAATGTTTCTTCTACTTCTTCATAATATATAAGAAAAAATGTATTGAAATGAAAAATAACTGACTGACATTTATATATAAATAAAATAATTTTTTTAAATTAAAAATTTGTTATTTTTAACATTAATGGCGCGCCATACATATACACCGGTATCAGAGTAACGTTCCTTGGAAAACGTATCTTCAGATAATGTAAGTTTTATTAATGATTCAAGACTAATTGAGTAAATAAACAATTTAAAGCTGATTTTTTGTTGAAATACATTCTTTATTATTGATTTGTCACATTTGTTGTTCAACAGCTCACAGCATTTAATAATTTTCAACATTTATACGTAAGTACACCGGTACCGTAGAACCCCGGCATACTCTCTAATTTAACCATCATTTATTGAAAAAAAAGAAAAAGAAAATACGTATAGATGATACATATTAAGTTTGAAATTTCTCTCCGTTTATCTTGTTTTAATATCCTGAAATTAATGAGCCATCTTACACCTTCCCCTCGTTGACCGGGGGAAAGGTCAAGGTCAAGGAGGTGGTAAGTCGGGTTTTTAGATCGGTCCCGCAAAAAACTGAAATTACTTGTTTTAAAATCTTTTTCTCGATCTACAAAAAGATATAATGGTTACGATTATCGTTCACAACATTCTACATCCAGAATATTAACTTTGTAATGAGTATTTGTGATGAATTTAAGAAAGAAACATTTTCGCTTTGTGTGACGCTGAACAAAGCTCACTCGTATGTGTTGTTAGAGCTCTATGTGTTGTGAGTGTATGTGACAAAAATGTCGATGACAGATACTGCAAACCTCGTTACTGAAAGCCATAGTGTGATCAACGGCATCCAAATGTGTGATGGTAGCGAAATTACTTTGGTAGAAATACATTCATTATTGACCCAAATGAATTCCAAATTAACAAATATAGAATCCAAAAATAACTGTTTGGAAGTTCGGTTGTCCGAAATTGAAAAGAAAATTTCAGCTATGGGTGAAATCCAAACAGCAGTAAACACAGTATCCTCCCAGGTCAATGTGATGACAGAAGATTATGTTTAAATTATTTATACTTTTCTATGCTGACGACACAGTTTTAATATCTGATAACCCTGAGGACTTACAAAGAGCGTTGAATATGTTTTCTGATTATTGTGACCACTGGAAACTTCAAGTAAATACAGACAAGACTAAGATAGTAATTTTTTGTAGGGGAAGGATCCCCAAAAACATATTTTTGTACAGAGAAGCACCAATTGAAATTGTGAATGAATTTAAATACTTAGGTGTTATCATGTCCCGTAGTGGTTTTTTTCAAAAGTGCCAAAACACACTTAACTAAACAAGCTTCAAAAGCAATGTATGGAGTACTTAGAAAGATAAGGTATTTTAACTTGCCAGTAGATTGTCAAATAGATCTTTTTGACAAAGTTATAAGCCCGATTTTGTTGTACGGGTGTGAAGTTTGGGGCTACGAAAACATAGATATTTTAGAAAAGGTACACTTAAAATTTTTGAAATTTGTTTTGCATGTTAAGTCCAGTACCCCAAATTGTATGGTGTATGGGGAAACTGGGCGATATCCTTTAATAATACGTATAAAGGTACGAATGATTACTTACTGGGCTAAACTTTTTATGTCACATGAGAGTAAGCTGACATACATAATGTATTGCTTTCTTTATAAGCAATTTTCTGACGGATCATTTATGCACCCATGGTTGAAATGTATAAGGGATATCTTGAATTCCTGTGGCCTGTCTTATGTGTTGATAAATCAAAACTTCATTAGTGTTACATGGTTAAAATCTATTGTGAAAGAAACGTTGTTAAATCAATTTTTACAAGACTGGCATATGAACATAGAAAATTCACCTAAATGTTTAAATTACAGGATTTTCAAAAACAATTTTGGACGAGAAATTTACTTAAGTAAACTCCCAAAAGACTTAAGAATTGTATTAACAAAATTTAGAACTTGTAACCACAAACTCCCAGTAGAATCAGGTAGATGGACTAATACTGATAGATCTTTAAAATTATGTAATCTATGTAACAAAAATACTCTGGGGGATGAATTTCACTGTATAATGGAGTGTCCATATTTTTTGTCTTTACGGGTAAAACTTATTGATAAGAAGTATTGTCGTCATATAAATACTTATAAATTTGAGAAAATTATGTCCATCACAAATGTTGAGTCACTGTTTAAACTGTCTTTATTAGCTAAAAAGATATTGGCCTGCTTTTAGTAACTATTTAATTGATACTACTCTTCCTCGCTTGACTTTGTATTTTGTATATAATTATGTAAATATGTTCATATACCTCATATACCATTGTATGGTCTGAGTGTAAATAAACAAACAAAAACCTGCAGCAGTTGATAATTATCACCGGGGATGAGATGTCTATATGATGTCACATGGTTAACTACGTACAAAAACTAGTTTTTCCTATTTCAAGATTATTTCTTCCTAGTAAATATTCAATTCGATCATTAAAGGTACTTGGACACAGATCTGAAGTTAATTTTTTTCTGTATAATATCACGAATTATATATTTTAATAGCATTTCATACATAATTAATTAAAAATCTTAATTCATTAAAAAGATATTAAAACTTTTAATTTTTTGGCGGGTTTGATTGACACATCCTTGCACTTTCACAAATTTTAACTTTATTCTTAATCCTTAGGAAAAGTGGCAATCTTGTTGTGTATTATTGAGAAATATTAAAACTTAAATCCAGAAAAATAATTTTATTCAGAGTAGAAATGTTAGAAAGCAAAACTCTTTCACAAGTATTGTCATTCCGTTGTGTACAGAGTTTAGCAAATCGAGCACACTCGTGTTATGTACACAGTTGTTGTAAACAGGGCACGAGTTCTGTTTTTGTTTATGTTTAGAATTCACCGGGTGCGTTTAAACGCCAAAGTCTGCTCACCACAACTGCATGGACTGACAATATATTGTGTGTTTGTTTTGCTTTCGAACATGTCTACTCTGAATTTTCTGGATTATAGTATTAATATTTTTCATTAATACACAACAAGATTGCCATTTTTCCAAAGGATTAGAAATATAGTTAAAATTTGGGAAAGTGCAAGGACGTGTCAATCAAACCCGCCAAGAAAAAAAATAAAAAATTTAATAACTTAGCAATGAAATAAGATTTTTATTTAATTTTTGTGTGAAGTGTTATTAAAATATATAAGTCGTAATATTATGGAGAAAAAAATTGACTTCAAATCTGTCCAAGTACCTTTAAAAGAAACGTGTTGATGAAATGATACAAATTGTAGACAATCCTTATTTAACAGTAAAACATATACGTTATATTATTACTCTTTGTAACTGCAAATATACAAAACATGCAGTCAAGTCAAATTACTACTGATTTATTTGCAATTTTCTTTGTAAAATAATAATACATTTTTGACGGGTTTTATACACTTACTATGATAATAGGGTATAAAAAAAATCATTGAAAATTCCCTGTGAAGATAATGACCTAGCAATTTATATGAAAAGCGCTTGTTAGCATTAGACTGAATAAATGATAGATTTTGCTGACAAAGTGATTGTATCAACCATATATTTTTTGCAAAAAAATTAATCTACTGCTAATATTGTTTTACCAACTTTCAAAGTTTTTTTTTCCGGAAATTAATTTTAACTACACTGATCATTCTATGTCGTATCAAATCAACAGAGAGTCGCTCAAAACAGAAAAAAGGACGGCTTTGAAAATAAAATCCCTCTTTCTTACCAATTTTTTAAATCAGCCACGCTTACTTTCAAAATTTTAGGATATTTTGAAAGTTTTTATAATTCTTTCTTATCATTGCGATAAATAAATTATTAATTCCAATTTCTCTCTGTTCATTGAAATTAAAGAAAGATGATGCTTTCTTTTTAAGACTTGATCTTTACCTGATAATTGGTCAGTTGATTGCAATCTGGGAATGTTGTTTAGATTAAGAAAATGATGGAATAGGTCATCCTGTTCTCTGTGATAGCTGTCTAAGTCATTAATAAGATTAAAAAGTATTTATTGAATTATTCATCACACAATTCTTCAGATAAGCGCGCTTTCTGAAAACCGTTGTACAACTGTGAGCGTAAAAGTAGGCTCTTGAAAGAATTTTTAGATTTTAATTTATTAATGAAATTTTTCTTATTCT